GCACCTGTAGTTAACAAGCATCAAGATTCAGATCAGAGTCTGCATGAAGAACCGGCCAAGAATCAAGATCAAGATTCAGAAGACTTATAGATAGGAATCTTGTAACTTGTAGTTGATCGGTTTAGTTAGTCTTTTTCATTTTGACTTTGGTGTAATAAGGAGCTCAGCGAGCAGTAAACAACAGCAACAACATTGAAACCACAGCTTCTCGGTAGTCCCAGCTACCAAAACGTCCAGAACTACACTGACCTGATTCCTTTACACCCAAGGATATGTAGGCAACCTCCGAAGCAAGGTTTGGTCAAACTTTTTCAAAATGCTTCCAAATGGAGTATCAAACAGGCAAAAATTGTTCATGATTGCTCACTTTATCTTTGCCCGAAAACTCTTCATGTTCTCGAGCAAAGAGGGGCAGCTGAGCACCTAATTTTTGCGCCACATGAGACTACTCCTAAAATAGTCCAAAAATAATCGTAATTGCTTTTATAGATTTTTAGGAATTTTTCTTGTATTTGTTTTGCATTGTTCATGCATATTTAGAAAAATCTTTTTTTTTAAGTATAAAAAATCACCAAAAATATTTTATCTTTTATTTTGTGTGTTTTAGGGTTTTAGTTGCATTTTTAGGATTTAATCATGCACTAAAAGCCTTGTTAAAACAATAAAAAATAAAAAGAAAAGAAAAGTGCAAAAAAAAAGTGCTTTAATCATTTTTAGTTTGGTTAATTAGTGGTGTGTTTGATTCCTATTTCTATCGAAAAATTGGCTAATTGTATAGAAATTGGATCTAATTTGGAATTTGGCTAAGTTAGAAGTTCATCTGTTTTATTCTCGTAATTGGGCCAAACAAGCGAAATGGCCCAGCTATCTTCAAAGCCCGCCCAATTCGTCCCATACCCGGTCCAGGTCTCTTAGTTTCTGAGATGATTAAACAACGTAGTATGATTATGAAACTACGCCGTATTGGGTCAAAAATGGTCAATCTAATCTCAGCCCTTCATTTCCTATGATCCAATGGCTCTGAACTAATCCTCCTCCTACCCCCCCCCCCCCCCCCGTCGGAAATCACCCACGGCGGTGGACACGCTCCAAATCAACCCAAAATTACACCAAACACTCCCCATCTTCCCCTCAACCCTAATCCATCACCAATTTCAAATCTCAGAAACCCTAAAACCCAAATTCTTCCCTTTTTGATTTTTATGAGCAAATTCACCCATTTTGACTAAAGACTTATAATGGTCAATTGTTCTTAACAAGAACAATTGGTTAATGTTGGTGTTGGGTCATTTCGAAGCTCATCGGATTCTGGCCAAGTCACCACTAACCGGCCAAGCTTCATCGCCATCATCACTCGTTGATTCGCCTCAATCGTTCACTCATTTCCGACCAAATCAGTATACTTTTCTTTTCCACTTTCCTTGTTTCCTTTTCAGATTTTTGAATCTTTGTTTAGCTGTTGCTTATTGTTTTGATTAGTTCAATCAAAATAGGATTATTTAGGTTAATTGCATGATTAATTAGTTAAATGCATGTGCTAGTTTAGTATAATTGTATGTTGATTTTTGGGTTTGGGCCCCAATTGATTTGTTCTTTTGATTTAGCTTAAAGTTGGCCTTGTTTGTGTGATTTGCAGGCCCACAAATTTAGTAGTTTTTTTGTGTCAAAAGAGAACTGGGGGGTCTTTGGATCAGAGTCACACGACTCAAGCCCAGAATCAGGTTTGGTTCTGAGGCAATTTTAAAACACTAAAAGGTTAATTGGGGGGTTTTAACTTGAAAGAATCTTTAGTAACTGATTGAAAACTTCTAGCAAACCGTATGCCAACATTTTAAACACGGTTATAATTTTTTGTAGAGTAGATAATCCAAATCTACCCATTGCATCAGCGCGTTATTCGAAGTACATATCATGACCTTTAATTGCATCACAATTCGAAGGAACAAATTCTGGGACATCCATTATCTACGACGAAACATACCCTCACTAAAGCGTGGATTATCTGAAAAAATAATCGAGAAATAAATTATTGTCAGCACCTTCAAGATCTCAATTGATTACCTAATGACCTGGAACGGGACCAACTCTGATAGGATAATTATTTTGATTTTTTGCAAACACTGCAACACATAATTGTTCATGTGAATTGTTTGCATGCACACTTGCATCTCAACTTCATCGTCAGAAACTAAAGACTATGATGCTGCTGATGATGAAGAGGAATTTGAATCATTATTATTAGATGAACCTCCCATATAGAAATTCATTTCAGAAGACAAATAGGAATAAGGATAAAATCCATCGATTGTGATCAAGATAAAATCTATCATATTCTTATCTACTAAATTATCGTGTCTACTTGATCTCTATATATTGAAGTGTCAACTTACCCTTCCATAACCACAATTGGCTTTTATTTTTCTTTATCCATATAAACCACTTTTCCTCTAAAATCACGTAAATTTTCTACTTGACGTACACATCCATTTAATTTTACGGCTTTCTCAATCGTTTGAATTCGACATGGCAACAAATCTCCCAACTCTCTAATTTTGGTGCGAATCTCCCAACTCTCTAACTTTGCATTATTGTATTCATCTACGACTCGACCCCAAAAATGATCTCTTGATTGACTCCCGTTATTGGATTTAGAGAAATATCTAATTAAATTTGACATAATAGAACATCTTCATTTGTAAAGTATCCTGCAGATCGAGAATATATTTTTTTAAGTAATTTTAGAGGAAAAGTGGATTATATGGATAAAGGTAAAAGCCAATTGTGGTTATAGAAGAGTATGTTGGCACTTCAATATATAGAGATAAAGTAGACACAATAAATTTAGTAGATAAGAATAAGATAGATTTCATCTTGTTCTCAGCCGTCAAATAGATTTCATCCTAATTCAACCGTCCGATGGATTTTATCCTTATGCCTATTTTATATTTAAAAAAAGAATCTTTACATGTTATTTTATCTTCAATGTATAGACAACTAGTAGACACAATAATTTAGTAGATAAAAATAGGATAGATTTTATCTTGATCTCAACCGTTGAATGGATTTCATCCTAATCTCAACCGTCCAATGGATTTTATCCTTATTCCTATTTTATCTTTTAAAAAAATCTCTACACATTATTCAATATGTAGACAACTAGTAGACACAATAATTTAGTAGATAAGAATATGATAGATTTTATCTTGATCTCAACCGTCGAATGGATTTCATCCTATTCTCAACCGTCCGATTCATCACTTGTAGGAATGACATAATGCTAATCCATGTTCCACATGGCCAAGGATTTTATCCTTATTCCTATTTGTCTTCTGAAAAGGAATTTCTATATGGGAGGTTTATCTAATATTAATGATTCAAATTCCTCATCATCATCTTTAGTTTCCGATGATGAAGTTGAGATGCAATCACTACTGAAAAATTGGTCTACGGTAACAGTTGAAAAACCGTTCCCACAGACTGCCAAACCGTTGCCATAGGTATATTGGAACGGTTTAAAGACCGTCACATCAGCTGGCGTACCCATAGGCCTACTGGAACGGTTCTTGCAACGGTTTTCATTGCCGTGACAATAGATACGTCTATTGCAACGGTTTTTCCTTTCTCTGTTGGAACGGTTATTTTTTTCAATTGGAATGGTTTAAAACCGTTACTGTATTGTTTATACAACGGTTTTTAACCGTTACCATATTATTTAAAGAAACACTTATGTAAGCTATTGCTACGGTTATGTTGGATATAGCCACGGTTTCTTTAGGCTATTGTAACGGTTATATTTGTATTTGGAACAGTTTATGGGACCTATTGCAACGGTTTACATTATCTACTGGAATGTCATCAATTGCAATGGTTCTGGTAGGCTATTGTATCAGTTCAGATAAAATCAAAATATAGCACCTGTTATAAATAAATATTTATACATATAATAAATTATAATAACACTAAAATTTAAATACATCATAAAATGAAACTATTAATAATACAAAATTATCCATCAAGCAAATAACATCCATAAAGCAAATGTTCTACCCCATGAGTGCATAAGTTTAGTACATTTCAAGAGAGTAAATAAGTTTCAAAAATGTTGGTAACAAAAGATTCCTAGAACATTCATCTATAACAATACAAAATTCATTTCAAGTAAGGTCTAGTTCTTCATCGTCTTCATCATCCATTTCTTGATCTACTCCACCTACAAAAGAGGATAAGTAAGGTATTACGAAAATGAACCTTGCGCAGAGAAGTAAATAACTAAATACAAAAGAAGTGAACCAAGTAGTCTCAAAATCTATGTTCATATAAACCACTCTGTGAGGGGAAACCTGCATCATCAACCACAACCCATAAAAGAAATGCAGTCAGATGTAAATTCTTCAACTCATTCCCTCCCAGAGAGCACCATCCCACATCCAAACAATCCCACACACAACTTCAGAGCATGTATTCATGTTATGCACACATGTAATGGATACACATGGTGGATGCTAAAACAGGAGAAAAATCAAACATTTTCCTAAGTTAAGTGCCGTTGAATCAATTGAATAAACACCACATGTCCACAATTTTAAAACACATCCAAGAAAAAGCAAAATATATATCATATTCAACAAAATGGCCCCAAAAACTGCAGGTACAAGCATTCCAGTTGTAAAGGATCCCACAAAATCGTTATGGTAGATCTTCATTTGCCAGTTAAGCAAGAGAAAGATATCAAATGCAAACGAAAATAAATATTAGCTACCATTTAGCTAATGCTTGAAAGCTGACAGTTTATATTTGTTGTAGCATTCTTTCTTTTTCCATCTTTGTTCTTCTGAGAACGGTGGTGTCTAAGTCAAGTTGCACGTTCGCTCCTATACCTCCTTTTGTTTTAAAAAGGAGTACGCCATATCAGTGTAACAAATTTACTCTTTTCTATTGCTTGGTTTCTGGAGGAAGAAAAGAGATTTCGCCAATTACAGAGTAGGGAAGTTAATGTCACTTTTATTTATCCCCCCTTAATTTATGAGATTTCTTGATATATGTGAGACAACAAGGGAGCTGGTGTCACAGTTTAAAGAAAATGTTAAAGATGTTCAGTCCTTACTAAGAAGGAGAAAAGGAGATTTGAGCATCACTAACTACACTTCGTTTAGGAAGAAGATGAAGAAAGATGCCAAAAACTTAGTTACAATTTTAAAGAAAATGGATCATGAGGTGGTTGATGTAATGGAGGTTGATCAACTTGTCTCAGCTGTTATCAGAGTGCTAAGAGAAGTTAGTACAATGGGAATTTCAGTATTCCAAATGGTGTTGGTTTTCTTGTCAGCTCCAGTTTCTAAGCCAATTAACAAATGGTCTTTGGTTTCAAGATTGGTGAACAAGGGAGATCAAGACAATGTAAATGAGATAGAAAGTGCTGATTTTGCATTAAACAGCCTTTTCAAGTGTGGCTCAAGTGAAGTGGAGAAAATCCAGTTTGCGCAGAATAGATTGGAAAATCTGGAAGCTCATTTTGAATGCATTGATTTCAGTACTATAAATCTATCCTATTAGCATAAATCTTAAGGGATTCAATGGATTAAACTTCAAGTTTAACTAGAGACTACATGTACTTAACTGATCCGCACAGCCAAATCAAGTTTAAGTATTAAAGAATACCTTTAGTTCCTAGATTCCATATCGCAAACCAAAGGGATATCTCCTAGTATGTGCCAGGTAAAATGTTTTTGAGAGAACACAAAACTAAAAGCACCGAAATAAGGGAAGCAGCACGCAGACAAAGATTTTAAAGAGTTGCTTATATCAACTCAGCAGTGATTGATGTTATATGCAAAATCCCAAGCAAGGAAGGAGGAGAAGATGAAATAGAAGAAGATGTATAACATTTGGTACGTACTGACCTTGAGTGTTCTTACCAGCAGATGGTCGATTGTTTGGTTGAACAGCAGCTTGTTGTGCAGAAGAAGCATCTACAGGTGAACGTGCACTGAACCTTAACATGTCAGGATCAAGTCGCAAATCTGGGTTCAGACGCTGAAGTCGTGCGATGACGTTCACTGTAATATTTTGTTCCATAGCATCCTTTTGTTCGTTCAACTTTTCATGCTATTCTTTGTTGCATTCCNAGTACTTTCTGTAAAGTTTGGTTGAATTTGGACGTCGTTTGACGTGTTTTGGACTAAAAACTCTAAACTTGATGTTTTATGAAAATTGGAAGGAAATTCTGGGGCTTGAGGCCTAATTTGATGATTATGATGTTGTTTGGGCGATTTGATCGCAGGGATGAGTCCGTAGGATGGTTTTTTGAGTTTATATGTATGTTCGGTTTGGAGCCCCGAGGGCTCGGGTGAGTTTTGAGTAGGTCCTGGGAGGTCTTAGGCTAGAAGTATCAGATGGTTGCAGGTTCAGGTGTTGCAGGCCCCCAGCGCGGCCGCGGTGCATTTCTGCGCTGTCCGCGTGGCTAGGTTCAGAGGGCCAGTGAATTCCAGTTCGACCAGTGCGGCCGCGTGCCATATCAGCGCGGTCCGCACTGGGAGATTCAGAGAGTGGGATTTGGGTTCATTCCTCCAGCGCGGTCGCGCTCCAAAACAGCGCGGTCCGCGCTGGGTGGGTTCAGTGAGGGTCATCATTCCAGCTCCTCAGCATGGCCGCGGTGCACTTTTGCGCGGTCCACGCTGAGTCTTCAGAAGGGTATATAAGGTCGGGATTTTCAGTTATTTTTCACTTTTTTCAAAACCCAAAACACAAGAGGCGATTTTCCAAATGATTCTTCTTCTTCAAAATGATTGGTAAGTGATTTCTAACTGATTTTCTGAACTCCTTAAGATCCTTAAACATAATTTCAACGTCAAAACAAAGATTTTAATGGGGAAATTGGGAATTTAGGGTAGAACCTAGGTTTTTTTAAAATTGGGGGTTTTAGACCTCAATTCGAGGCCCGATTCCAAAATAACTTACATATTTGAGTTCATGGGGGAATGGATAATCGGGTTTTGGTTCGAACCTCTGGTTTTGACCATGTGGGTTCGGGGGCATTTTTGACCTTTTGGGGTAAATTGATGAAAAAGCTATAATTAGTCATTGGGTTTGATTTGTTTAGCATACATTGATAACATGAAGTCCTTATTGCATAGATTTGGTTGAGTTGGAGCCGAATTCGAGAGGGAAAGCGATTGTGGAGGATTGTATTGGACGTGGAAGTTGAGGTAAGTGTTTGGTTTAACCCTAGCTTGAGGGAATACGAGTCGAGTCTTGTTTGCTAATTGCTAAATGATCGAGTACGATGTATAGGCATGGTGACGGGTTCCTATACATGGGTGTCTAGCATGACCGTGAGTCCTTATATGTGGATTGTTTGGATATTGTTATGCCTTCCATGCTTAATTGATGGCTTCTATACGTTGTAAACACCTTGTGAAGGATATTGTGATTGTGGAACTTCGTGGAGCATTGGCTCGGTCTGAAACACAAATGGTGAGAGTATATGAGATGAGAAATGCCTTGGAGCTTGTCACGAGTGCTAATGAGAACTAGGATATGAAAATGAAAGAAAAAGAGAAATAACGATTTACTCTTGCATGGTTATTATTGGTTGTTTGTGTACCCTTGTTGGGATTTCCTTCCAAATACTTTTCACTCCCTTGCCCTTTATTTGTGACTGTTGCTTGGGCAAGGTTGAGAGGTAGACATTACGGATCGGGTTACACGCTGCAACAGTGATAATTGTGGATCGGGTTGCACGCCGCAACAGTGATAATTGTGGATTTGGTTGCACGCCGCAACAGTGTTGAAATGTATTAGGGTCGGGTTGCGCGCTGCAACAGTTATTGATACAAATGTGTTTAGTGTTGGTATTAGTTTCTTGATCGCCGGAAATTATAAATTGCACCTAGATTGATTACTTTGGATTTACTGTTAATATTTTTATCTCCCCACAGCATGTTTCCCCTCCCATACTGTTAGTTGCCTTGTACTTCGATTTCTGCTGTATATTTATAATTGCACAGGTTTATGTGGGGTCCAGTCTAGCCTCGTCACTACTTCGCCGGGGTTAGGCTAGGCACTTACCAGCACATGGGGTCGGTTGTGCTGATGCTACACTTTGTGCATTTTTGCACAGGTCCAGGTATTGAGCAGCAGCAGCATTAGCACGGGGGCAAACCTTCAGTCCAGAGAGACCCGAGGTAGCTTGCAGGCGTCCGCAGGCCCGGCGTCTCCCTTCTATCTTTACATTTGGCTGTCATCTCATTGTTCCCGAGATAAACAGATTATGTTCTTTCAGACTTTGTATATAGTACTCCTTAGATGTTCGTGAGTATGTGACTCCAGTCCCGGGGTAGAGACGTATGTTGGAATTTCTGTATTTTATTCAGTTATATAAATTTAAGTCTTCCGCTAACGATTTTAATTCCTTCACCTTTATTTAATGCCGTTAATTGTTAAAAAGGAACAGGTGTTTAATGAATTTGTTAATTAAGTTGGCTTGCCTAGCTCCTATTAGTAGGCGCCATCACGACCCTCGAGGGTGGGAAATCCGGGTCGTGACAGTTTCATCCTGGGAAGATTTAATCCATTACCTTGGCAACGTGTAAGGGGGTTAAAATTCCTTAAGGACGCACAAGCAAATTGTGGACTCGGAATATATTTTATACTTTAATGTTTTTTTCCAATTTTTAATTCTAACAGTCTTTCTGATTTTGCGTTTTAACACAGTAGCGCTTACAATAAATAGCTAATAGAAAATGAAAAAACGTAAGAGAAAGAAATTATTGTTAGTAATCTGTATTTGTAAAATAATTCTGGAGAAAATAAAATAACATAAAGACAAATGTAAACGAAATAAAAAAATAAAAAAAAAACCAATTCGAGCCCACTGAATTCATAATGTTTCCTTAAGAAATTTAATCCCCTCCTAGTACCCAAGGTTATGGATTATTTCCTCCCAGGATAGAACGAATTACACACTGGTGTAGTGGTAATGCAAACCCCAGTGTTTCAGCAAACACAAAGTTCGGTAGCAAATCACAAAATCTGAGAGACTGGACTTGTATTTATAGCCAAAGTTGGGCTGAAATCTGAAGAGGTGCAACTCTTTAGAATGGTTGTTTGGATTTAATATTAATATTTATTTTAATATTTATTAAAACAAATATTTTAATAACATTTCTGTCAATATTTACTACCGGAGCCGAAGCCGAGCGACGACGACGACGGCGCGAGGCTTGCCTTCTTCTCAACTCTTTATGAGCTAGAAGAAGAGCAATTGCTTATATACCCATCAAAAATCTTTTCTCTTCCCATATGGGACAATCAAGGAGGGAAACTCAAATATTTTATTTTTCCCTCAATTTTCCATTCACCCTATTTTAAGCATTAATAGCTTAAAAACCCAACAATTATAACTAGCTAGCTTGAAAAAAACAAAGATGCACGCAGATGCTAGTCTGATGTATGGGGATTTTCAGCTTGAAAGTGGTGTTATTTGCAGTTTGGAAGTTAGGCATCTGTACTTAAATATTGTTCTTTGAGGAAGATGGAAAGATAAATATATAAGTAGTCAAACAAAGCAACGCCCACGAGATTCCTATGTATTCCTTTCCTCTCTTCTTCTTGTTTCACTATATCTATCAGCACATGATTCAAAATTTAAATTCTATGGGTTCAACTTTTAAAGTTTTTAGCATTGAACTCATTATATTTTTAAAGTTATGGGTTCATATCTACTATTTTTGCAATTTTAATAAATATTTACATATAAATTTTTACTCTCTGTATCAAAATTTATGGATTCAGTTGAACCCGACGGTAGAACACTACCTCCGCCTCTGTCTATCAGGCATGCATCCATATGTTTCTTCCCTGTAGATAGTTACGAACTACTCCGTTACTCATTATTGTACTTTTTCAATTCAAACCAAAGTGCATACACATTGTTTTTTCTGGCACGTCATTTCCTTCTTTCTGATCAGCACGGGTGAAAAACGGATGGGTCAGATCAGATCAGATATAGGAGAATCGAAAACGGGTAATGCAAAAACGAATAAATTATTCGACCCAGTCCATATTTAATACGGATCAAAAATAGGTTAACTGGCGGATAATATGAATATTCATATTATCCATGGCTTCTTGAATATGATCACTTTTGGGAAGTTTCTAGTCTCCCAAACTTGAGAAACCCCAGGGGCGGCCCGACGAATTTTGTGGCCTAAAGCCAAACTTTTTAAGGGCCTTAACTTTTTTTTTTTTAATTATTTATTTGAAGTATATTTTTTTTAGCTTTTCTTAGATACAAAGTTATTAATGATTTTCTTATAATCAGTAACTCCTAATAAGTATTTCTCAACTAACAATATAGCTAATCCATTTAACCTTTCTTGTGACATTGTTGTTCTTAGGTAAGATTTTATCAATTTTAATTTTGAAAACTTCTTTCAGCTGAAGCAACTGTGACATGAGTTATTAACATTATTCCATAAGAAATTTAAGCATTTGAAAAAGACTTAAATCTTTTTATTTGAGTAAATATATCAATTAAACCGTTATCTTCTAATTGTACTATTTTCCTTAATCCTTTTAATTCAGAAATTTATTTTTGAACCATCAATATCGAATTGATTATTGTGCTTTAAGGAACATTCAAGATTAAGGCAATATTTTTTCAAATTTCCAACATCTATACTGCCAACTAGAAAACCAAAAATATTTTCATATGCTTTGAATTGTTCAAATCTATTTTGAAGTGAAAAAATAGCTTTGTCTATTATGTATAAAAGTAATCAACTCTAAAGGACCCTTCGAAAGATTTTGAGATTTCATTATAAACATTCACATCAAATTGTTACTTCCTATATA